TATTTCAGGATGTTCCCTATCTCACAAAAATAGTTTATTCAACTTATGAATAACTTTTGCAAATCAGTCAATCAGTTTGAAATAGGTCTACAGTGCCTTATTGCAGTCACATTGCTAGTTCCCTCATGCAGACACTTTCTGTCACCCATGGTCTGATAAAGGTAGTGGACACCAACTACTGGTGACTTCTGTGGGAGGATAGTATGCCTGGGACCTCTCAGGATCAGTTTGAAAAAGTATTTTTCTTTCTGTATAATGAAAGGCCTGAATGGGAATTATCTTTTCTTATACTTATTGGTCAGCCATCACAATAAGACCCTGATCTCTGCTGAGCCTTGTGGTATCACTGTCACATGCATAAGAGTCCATTTCAAAGCTGGTGATGAGGTTACAATGTCCAGGCTTTTCCCACAATTAAAAAAGTTAAAAATATACTTAAACCGAGAAGGAAAAAGAAAAGGTAAGATTAGGCCTAGGGTGTAACAGTTCAGCCATGGTCTTTATTAGGTCCAGGAAACCATCTGTCTCTCAGAAAGGTGTCATGCCTGTTACCAGATCCTAATGCAATTATAAATCCCTCCACCTCAAAGATAAATACAGCAATGATTTTGGGATTGTGAGAGAGGGGGTTATTTGCTATGTTAGAATGGAAAATGGCTACAATGCAGTCATTCCTGATGCAACTGAAACATAGTTTGTCCTTCTGCTGTAGATAGGACTGCAACTTAATAGTAGCATATTCTGAAATGAGAGTTTTGGCTCCATTTACTTTAGGACAGGTGTGAGCAATTATTTTGGGTGGGGGGCTGCTTACTGAGTTTTGGCAAGCCATTGAGAGCCGCATGACAGGCAGCTAGGGGCAGATAAATATTAATTTTCTAATTTTTTTAGGGGCCCTGCAGGCCAGACAGAATGGCCTGGTGGGCTGCATCTAGCCCACAGCCTACATTTTGACCATCCCTGGTTTAGGACACAGTGTTGAAAAGAACTGATTCTGTCTACATTTGGTAGACTGAGGCAAGTAATAATTATATAGGAAAATCCCCCCAAGCATGGGAGATTTTCCAGAGTAGATGTAAATTAATTTCTTTTTGCTGCTACATGATGCCAATATGTGTGTAGGAGTGTGTGATTACTCCTGAATTCTTGGAGCGATAGGAGAGAGAACTAAATTTGCAAGGGATGAAAATGACCAGGTTTTCTACTCTCGAAAACAACTAACTTGCTTTGTACGTTTTATTTTAGACTAAAAGTAATATGATAACATTTCATACATCTGAAAAACTGTTATTTTTTCTGATTTATTATATTGATCCATCATTATGCAAACATTTAAGAATTTGATTCACTTTACTGTAATGGGTAATTGTATCAGGTTCAGTGGAATGATTCACTATGATACAGTTACAAGGTTTCAAGATCAAGGCTATAGGTAGGCTGTTCAAACTTGATGCGCTCATTGGATCATGTTGGATGGCATTCTGCTCTCAGATAAATATGAGCATTCTCAACTGTTGACAGCAGGCCTTGCCTTACTTAGATCAACATGTAAATTGCCATAAAGCTAGAAAGTATTCCCAGGTATATACATCTTGGTCTTATTACAACAGTTCATAATGCATGTTAATATTGTCTTGTTGCAAAAAAGGCTTGGCATTTCAGGACTTTAAATTTAGCACTTTCAAGACTGAGTGACCTTTTTAACTGTTCGTGTTTACAGATGCTAGTTGCATTCTTCTTCCCCATTCCTGAAGTCCTTGGGGAGGCTCTTAAGAAATTTCCAATTCAAGGCTAAGAGTGAGTGTGTGTGTGTGTGCGCGTGTGTGCGTGCGCGTGTGCGCGCACGCGCGTGCGTACACAAAAACAGGAATGAAAGAGCTTCACTGTTTGGACAAGGTTTTTATCAACAAAACCTAGGCCACAGGTTACTGTCTGAACACCATGCAAGGCTCTTCCCATCTATGCCACCTCCTGAACCAGAAGTAGTGCTGGAGGAGTGCCAGAAGGCCTGTTTCTCAGCAGATCTTTTTGGGGCTTGTTTATAGCAGCTAACAAATCTCTATCCCCTAAAGCTGGCAGAGGGGCAGTGTGTATATAGGCCTAATTATTTGTTGTTATAAACATAAAAATATAAATGTTATTATAAAAATGTAAATCGCAAATATATTTATTTGTAAAAAATGAATTATTAGCTCTCATTAGGCCTACGTTTCTCATGATGAAATTGGGCAATGTTGTCACTCACTTCTTACATACAAAAGGAAAAACAAAGATTTCTTCAGCTGTGACCCAGACTGACTGTCACCCCTCTTTCTCCCTTAGAAATCTTTCCTGCCTGTGTTACCATCATTTTTTGTAGCATGTCTGAAAATAGACTGAACCTGCAGTCAGATCTGTATGGATGGGCTCTGGCAAGTACAGATTAAAAACAGTATACAGCCCCAGGTAAATGGGGCTGCACACAGGTGGATCTGGCTGGACACTTCTTGCCTGGGGAAGGAGACAAAATAGGTCTAAGATACCATATGTTGATCTGAGTTGTACCCTTGGTTTGTAAGCTCTTTAGGAGTGGGGTCCCTTGACTTGATTACTTACTCCTTCTGAGACGCACCGCAGGCAGGAATGGGAAGAGAGCGGAAAGGGACATTTAAATCACCTTTGTGCCTCTTATATTTTGGTGCTTCAGAGGCACATCCAGGCAGTGCAGTGAACTGAATCAGCCTCAAGGCTCCTTTGACTGATATCCATACTGCTTCTAGTCCCCTGGTAGGTCAAAAAAGTGGGAGTGTTGCATTACTTTGGTTCTGGCACAGAATTTGCCTGGGGAGCTACAGTGGAAGGCATCACTGAGCTATTTAATTGGTTCTAAACTAGAGAGGAAGTCTGGGGGTAAGGCTCAGGGGACAGGGCTTATGGACATGGCAGCAGGAGAGAATCAAACCTTTTGTAAGGCTTCTTGTACCCACAAGTGATGTAAAGGAATATCATGAAAAGGGCAATTTTTAAAATATTGTTTCATAAACACAAATTCATATTGCCTGATTTTTTTGGATAAAGTGAGAATATGCAGCTGATTTTAAAGCAAGTAAAGGTTTCCCTTGCTTTATGTGGGTTCTGTAGGTGTGAATTTGCTCTTATGTGATGACCCTTTTTATATAGAAAAATCGTTATATGTGAGGTAAATTCACTCTGATGTAATTGGTGTGGTGGAAGCCCGCAGTCAGCTGCTTTGTGCAGTTCATTGCGGGAGTGACTTGCACCAAAATATAGACTCCTGTGTGGATCTCTGCCCCTCATTTGGTGTCTGTGACACGTGTTTCTGTAGCTGCCATCCCCATTATGGTAACGTTCACTACCACCCTGTGCTTGTGTGTACTGTCTGCTGTTGGTGAGTACCAAATCTGTCTTGTAGAAGTGGTAGAAATGGGTCTAGGGGTCAGTACAGTAGAGGTCTTGGAACATATCCCTATTTGTTACATTGTAAAGCGGGTTTCCTTTATGTGAATTCAAGTGATGCACAATTTTCCAGGAACGCACATACAGTATAAAGCAAGGGAAACCTGTATCATGGACACAGGCAACCTGAGCAAGGTGCAGGGCCCAAGGCAAATCAGCCCATGTGTGGCCCCACTTCTGCTCCGAAGCTGCTGCTGCTGCCGCCATGTCAGCGGCAGTGGGGAGGGGTTGTGAGCAGCTGGACACAGAGCCACTGCTCCGCCCGGCTTCACAGGGACCCCCAAAGTGCGGGGCCGAGGGCGGTCGCTCTGATTCGCCCCCTGCCCAGGGATGGCCCTGATCATGGAAAAACACTTATCATTGTTACATGCTAATAACCTGTGATACAGACCTTCGATCTTGATAGTGTGTACAGCTTATGTATGTATCTATGCATGACTGCATTTTAGGGTTGTGCAACCTCAGCTACTTGTACCCATCATCCTCATGCATGCGCCTGTATTGTCTTGGTGCCAGGTGTTGTGCCTCGTGCTGCCAGCAGCTGTGAAGGTGGTGGGGCTGTGAGTATTTGGTAAACACCAGGCTAAACCAGAAGGGTTTGGGGATAAGGGCCCTAGGCCCTAATCCTGCCTGGTCTATGCTGGTGGACTCCCACAGCTCTTGCGCGACCAGGGGGAAAGCTCCTGGGGCTCGTGAGGCCTGTTCTTGCCATGTCTCTGCAAGAGGCCGACAGCTCTGCTGAGGAGGAGGATAAACAATAAACAACCCGGCTCCCCAACCCCAAGGGCCGTTTGTGAGGGGCGCTGGGGGGTTCAGTGCCCCCCTCACCCCCTGCCAGAGACTCGAGACACCTCCATGGCCACTGGGCAACGCCGTAGCCCTGCAAAATAATGAAATATTTAAGCAGCCCGAGGGAGCCTGCATGCAGCCCGTGCCCCGCTGCCCGCGCGGGGAAGGTGCTGCCGGCGCTGTTGCTGAGCAGTAAAGTCGGTGTCCCCGTGTCCCCCACCGGGGCCGGCCCGGCCCGGCCCGGCCCGGCCTGGCCTGGCCTGGCCTCCCCCCGGGCCGGGCCGTGTTGTTGGTGCGCACAGCACAGGGCGGCACTGAGCC